TATTACAAAGCCTGTTAGCAGTGTAACCACATATATTTCAAGGACATTCATGGCAATTGTTTTGAAAAATATAGGGCAGTATGAGCTATGGTAAAACTGGAAGTGGAATATAAGACCCAAAATTTGGGGCATTCCTTAAAATATTGGACTGGTATAAAGACCTTATTCCATATACTTGATAGAAAATACTGTAGAGAATAACAGACATGAAAACTTCACTGAGATCTTTCCTCACTTTAGATGTAAATAACAGGCCAATTAATATAAAAGGCATTGCTTATTTGATTTGTCTGGTTGGATTGTGCTGGACACCCTGTGGTTCTCCTTTTTTACCATCTGTGCTGCAGACAAACTTCCCTGTAGGTAACACTGCCACCTTGGGATCAGAAACCGTAAAAGCATATTCAGGAAATACAGACAGGACACACAGTTTCTTTACAGTAAAGGAATTGGCTATCTTTACCTTGAAAACTTAACTCTTCTGCTCAAGCACAGTAATTCAGCTTTTGTCTCGGATAATAAAACTGCTACTCATTAAAAGGTGATTTTCTTAATCTCATCTTTAGCAGTGTCTTTTGGGAGCTTAATTTTGACCTTTAAAAACCATTCTTCTGTAAATGCAAATATAATTTGGACACATATTTTATTTCTAGTTTTAAATGATTCATTTGATTGAGCTCCCTGTAATCTCAGATGTCACTGATTACAGACCAAATTCCTCCATAGGTTACTCCTGGGCAGCTCTAGTTGCCATCCACGAAGGTAGGTGTATGAATGCACTGCTGGTAAGGTTGAACCTGCTGTTGCAGAGAGATAAGCAAGGGCAGGATTTGGCCATAGCGTAGCTGAAGATTTTGCTGAAGAAGATAACATCTCTGAGTTCATTGAAGAAAAATGTATCTGCAGATTCACCTCCCATTCTTGTATCAGCCTCAGTATGTTAATTGGCTTGGGTTGATCTTTAACAAGGAAAAAAGCTTCTCCATCCTCCTCCAATACACCATATGAAACATAGGACCTAATTAGTAAAGCAAGGCTTTGGGGGCAGATTTTGTTTTAAATGGACTGTGAATTATTTTGCTTAAAGACGTTGCTTTACCAGCTATGGCAAGTACGCTCTAATGAAACTTGACCATTATTTTGAAATTTAATAAAACTGTATTTGGAAAAATATACAAACCTTAATACAGTTATGCAAGCTATAGCTTTTAATTCTCTTCCTAAAGTTTTCATATAGGGCTTTTTTTCTGTTTAGGCATTTACCCCGTTCAACATAAGTAATGCTACTTTCATTCCTTTCCTTTTTGCCTGTTTTGTCTAATGAGACTGTAAGCCCTTCTGGCAGACACTTCTTTCTATGTGTTTGTGCAGCACCAGGCACAATTGGCCTCTAGTATTAGTTGAGGCCTCTAAACACTTCTGGAATACAAGTAATCAGGCCCGCCAACGGGGAAGAAGGGGACAGTTTCCCCAGGACCTGGTGATTCAAAGAGAGAGGTGGCGGCCGGAGCCTGGGCCCTTTAAATTTTATTTATTTTATTTTATTTAAAATATTTTACTCCCACCTCTTTATTTAAAATATTCAAGGTGGCTTACACAAATTTTTAAAGAAAACAAATAGATAAATGTAAAATACAGAATGCCAAAAGCGGGGGGGAAGATTAAGAACTCTTAAAACACTTCTAGACACACCCCTAAACACCAATAAAAGAACGGGTAAAAAGGGTGGCCTTGGTCTGGTGCTGAAGGAATGCCAATGTTGGCACCGGGCGAATGTCTCAGGAGAGAGAATTCCACAGCTCGGGGGCAAAGGCTGAGAAGGCTCCACATAGATGTGAAACTAATCTCCATAAGTGGGGGAACATGGAACAGAGCCTCCCCAGCCAACTCAATCCCTGGGTGAGTTTGTATGGGAGGAGACAGTCCTTCAAATATCCCAGTCCCAACCCATTTAGGGCTTTATATGTCATAATCAAGACCTTGAATTGTGCCCGGGAACATTCCAGAAGCCAGTGCAGAAGACTAGCATAGTATGCTCCGTATAACGAGTATTAGTTAAAACTCAAGTAGCTGCATTCTGGACCAGTTGAAGCTTCCAAATTCTCTACAAAGGCAGCCCCACATAGAGCACATTATAATAATCCAATCAGCATTCTGGACCAGTTGAAGCTTCCAAATTCTCTACAAAGGCAGCCCCACATAGAGCACATTATAATAATCCAATCAGATGTGACAAGAGAATGAATCACTGTAGCCAAGATGTTCTTACTCAGGAGGGTCATAGCTGGCAGATCTGCCAAAGCTTCCCAAAAGCACTCCTGGTCACTGAGGAAATCTGATTTTCAAATGTTAAAAAAGGTCCATGAGGACTCCCAGGCTGCATACCTGTTCTTTCAGGGGAAGTATAACCCTGTCCAGAACAGGTAACACATCATATTCCTAGTCAGATGGTGTTCTGAGGATCAGGAAGCCTCGATCTTATCTGGATTCAGCTTCAGCTTATTCTACCTCATCCAGTCCATCACTGCCTCCAGACACTAGTTCAGATTGATTGCCATCATATCTGAATCCGATGTCACAGAGAAATAGATTTGGGTGTCATCTGCATATTGATGGCACCATCCTCCAAATCTCCTTATGACCTCTCCCAGCGGTTTCATGTAGATGTTAAACAGCACAGGGGAGAAGTTCGAACCTTGAAGGACCCCGTAGCACAATCACCATGGGGTCGAGCAGCAGTTCCCGTGCTCCACCTTCTGAAAGTGTTCCAACTAGTAAGACTGCAACCACCACAAAATAGTGCCTCTGATTCCCAGCTCCACCATGCACTCCAGAAGGATATCCTGGTTGATGGTATGAAAAGCCACCAAGAGGTCCAAGAGAATCAACAAGGGCGCACTCCCCCTCTATGTCCTGCTGTAGGTCATCTACCAGGGGGATCAAGGTGGTTTCTGTTCCAAAACCATGCCTAAACCCAGACTGAAACTAATCTAGATAATCTCTTTCTTCCAAGAAAGCTTAGAGTTGCAGCACCACCACCCACTTGAGTACCCTGTCCAAGACAGGAATATTAGCAACTGGGAGATAGTTATTCACATCACATGGGTCCAGGGAAGGCTTCTTAAGGAATGGTTTTATCACTGCCTCTTTCAAGGCAGTGGGAACCGTCCCAGATCTAAAGGACGCATTAATAATTCCCTGGATCCAACCAGTCATCCCTTCTCAGCTTGATTTAATAAGCCATGAAGGTCAAGGGTCAAACACGTGGTTGGTCACACTTTTCCAAGCACCTTGTCCACATCCTTGTTCTATAAAAGCTGAAACTGATCCAAAGAAAAACAACGTGGGTGGTGCACTCAACACATTCTGTACCCCGCTTACATGAGAGCCAGAGTCCAAAACAGACCAGGTGTGAACAATCTTATCTGCAAAGTGCTTTGCAAACAAGTTACAGTGGATTGCTGAGGACTCCTTGATTATATCATGAAGGCAAGGCTGTAAGAGGCTTTGATCACCCAAAATAATTCTGCCAGGGTATGTCTACACTACCCCGCTAGTTCGAACTAGCGGGGTAATGTAGGCATACCGCACTTGCAAATGAAGCCCGGGATTTGAATTTCCTGGGCTTCATTTGCATAAGCCGGGCGCCGCCATTTTTAAATCCCGGCTGGTTCGAACCCCGTGCCGCGCGGC